ATTGGCAGCTGCAGTGCTTTCAAGTTCTCCTAAGTCCTTCCAAATCTTACAGTATTCTTGAACTCTAGCCTTCTTGCCCCATTTAAAAGCTTTATGAAAGTGGGCTTACAGTTATAAAATATATTAGATAAGGATGACCCATTTGGTTCTGGGGAGAACACCACTCAGAAGGCGCATCCTCTCCAGACAAAAGAAGATATGCTTCCCATCTATGGTTCTGTCTCCCATTGCAACTCCCTAGATCTGCCCAACAGCCCTATGTCCCACCAAAGGAAACAAAAAAATATGTGGCTCTCTGAAACAAAATGAAACATAAAGTAAGTTCTTAATTATAAAATTTAACTCATCATTTTACTTGTTTTGCAACAGATTAAGATTAGGAAGTAGGAAGTTTGGTTTGGTTTTGTTAATAAAGATGGAAATCAAGTAATGATAATCTGTGAGCACCACCTTGCTCACAGGTGTACAACCACTGTATCAGTTTGGACACTATCAATCTTTGTTCACTGAATATATAGTAAATATCCTGACACCAGGCATAGAACAATAATCAGACGAGAATATTTGGCTTCATGGAACTTACTTCCTGGGGTAAGACAGAAAATATACAACATCAATACATGAACCACAATGATGAGTGCAGAGGATTAGAGTCAAGGCATAAAGACTGCACTTGAAAATTGAACGGTCCAAGAAGCCCTCACTGAAAAAGTGACATTTGAATAAAGTTTTGAGAGAGAGAAAAGGGCCAGTTAAGCAGTTACCTGGGGCTAAAGCCATCTAGCCAAAATAATACGTGCAAATTCCTGAGTAGAAAGATATTTGGTGACTTTAAGAGGAAGCGTTGAGGGGAATGCTCTACTCTCTGGTGACAGTGGAATAGATGGCAGGAGATGATGACAGAGGGAAAGCCAAGAGCCAGGTCACTTAGGGCCTCTCTGATCATAGTAAGGATTTGGTTTCTCTCCAAGTGAAATGGAGACTTCTCAAGAGGCTTTGAGCAGAGAGTAAGATGAGCATACTTCTTAAACAGAGTTTGTTTGAGTGAAGGAGTCAAAGACAGAAGTAAGTGATACTGCCCTTAGATACACACAAGAGGGACTTCTTCCCTGAACTCACACTTTAGCTGGCCCTGCATAAAACAAGAACATAATATCTAAATTTACTTTTATATAGTTAGTTGCCCATGACTCACACCTATAATCTTCGCTGCTTGGGAGGCTGAGATCAGGAGGATCTCAATTCAATGCCAGCCTGGCCAAATAGCTCATGAGACCCCATCTCCAAAGTAAACCAGAACAAAACAGACTAGAGGTATGGTTCAAGCATTAGAGTGCCTACATGGAAAGTGTGAAACCCTGAGTTCAACTTCACTTCAACCAAAAAGTAAATTTTATTTACTTAAATTTATTATAACACCCAGAGAACGATTGGCAGATCAGGACTCAATTCTGGTAGAGCACAATCTGCAATCTTAAACACATGTTACTGTGACTACCACCTTTCAGATGCCCAGAAACCTATTGCTGCCTCTTGCAACATAGTGCATCAAATAAAAGTTGACTTCCTTCAAAGTAGTGTGGGCTGTGCTGCTACAGATGTGGGCATGGCCACCGCTTTGGAGGATGGAAAGAGCTGGTCAATAGGTATGCTTAATTAAGAGAAATACAGTTTACTAAGCTCTTCTCCTGGGAAGCATAAGTGACACAAACAAAAATGTATTGCATCCTAGTTGTGTTGGGAATCTATTTTTTTTGCTTCTCTTTTTGTTCTACTTCATTATTCTTGATATACCCATCAATTGCATGGCATTTGTAAAAGTTACACACTTCATAGCTACAGAATATTATTCAATATTGAACAATTCACATCACTCAAATTTAAACTTATTCAAATCCAGCCAGAAAATCCATGATGGAGCTAGGTCCTAGAACACTGTTTTAAGAGCTAGTGAAATGGCAACGCACATGGTCATTGTCCATACTAGTGATAATGTATCTTAGCTAATCCACTCTACAATATTTGAACATGACATTTAAAGTTCCCAGTTCATTTCTAAGCCCCACTTGCCAATTCGGCTGAGCAAAGTTTCCCCAAATTAAATTAATTTTTAAAAATTACTAAGACAGAGTGCCAGTGGCTCACACCTGTAATCCTAGCTACTTTCAAGGCTGAGATCTGGAGAATCACAGTTCAAGGCCAGCCTGCATGAATAGTTATTCCCTCCAAACAACCAGAGGGAAATGGACTAGAAGTGTGGCTCAAGTCACAGAGTGCCTGCTTTTCAAGTGTGTAGCCCTGCGTTCAAGCCCCTGTTACACCAAAAACAATTTTTTTACTAAGAAACACAATGATTTAACAAAGGTGATCAAATTAGACAAAACTGTCAATAGAATGGGAATTGTGCAGAAATCACTCTTTGAAAAACATACTTTATTTTTCTGAAAGAAAGTTTTAAAAATAATATTTTGGGGATAAATATATTAGTAATTCAAGAATCAATACCTTTATCTTATTATTCACTCAGTCATAACTGCCCATTAACCATATATGCAAGAATAACTTAGTCATCTTTGCTATTTTGTTAACTGTCAGTTATATTTTAAAAAACAAAGCTTTTTCAATTTTTTCAATAAAAAATTATATTTCAAAGTAGAGGAATGGGACATATTTTAAATAAATATAAACTTGATTTAGAAGTTTCAAATATTTAGACATGTGGTCTGTTGAGTTCTATTTGCATTTTAGCCTTACACTTCTTATGTGTTAGGGGGATCCAGTTAGGAGGTTGTAAAAATTTAAGACATAAATTATAGTAATTTAACCTATGTTGTGGAGAGAACTGTGAGAAATCATCAAACTCTGGAAAAATGTTCCTGAAAGAAACATTAAAAGGATTTTATGATGGGCTGGTTTTAAATGAAAACAATCAAATGACACAAGGTATTTGACTTGAGCAACTGAACAGAAGTTGCCATTATGTGAGTTAAGAACAAATGTGGTAGTTGCCACTTGACGGACTTCAGAAGCTTGACTTGGTCACACTAAGCCTGAGAGGTTAGTTTCCTTCCTGGAAGTACATGCAGTTAGTAATCAGGTTGTATGTTTTGTAGTCATTAGAGTAGAAGTAGAACATTGGTTGTACTCAAATCATTGGAGTGGAAGGGATCCCTTCATGGTTTTTTTGCTTTTAACAAGATAGGAGAAATGATATATTGAAAAACTGGGAACACTCTGCTGTGCCACTTCTCCACCCTAACAGCAAAAAGTGTTAAAGAACCTAGAACCCATCTCCCACAGTTATTTCCAGAGGCCAGAAACTTTCTTGATTTGGATGCCCTAGAAAAAGTTCATAATACCATCAATCCTGGGTACCAACCTTACACTTTTAACTTCAGACTTTCCATAAAATTTCTACCACAAATATAAGTAAAAGATGTTGTCAGATATCATAAAGCCTACATGTAAATTGTTGCTCCATCACTGGTTCTCAGCCCAGTTGCTTTTACATCATATGCTTTAATGTGACACTTTTTCTTCTATCCTCCTAGGTTAGTTGGCTCTTAGCCTCTCCAAATCGCAACAATCCAATGGTGGAGAGGATGCATGGAAAAAAAACAAACACAGAAACATAAAAACAAGAGAAAAAACTCTAAGTTTCTTTAATCCCTTCACTATCTAATCTTCAAATTAGAAAAGAAAGAAAATTTCGTGTGTGGACATCACTTTTTAATCACTTATAAATTATCTTATTCTACCTCTGACTGCATAAGCACATCCATGACTAAAACAATATTTTAATCTAAACAGGAAATACTAGTAGTACTTTGTTTGATGTGAAACCTAACCTTTTTCTTGTGATCCATAGTAACAACCACCTGAAATGGCATTGCTCTGAACAGAGTTTGGAAAACACTGTTGTAATGCACACGTGGATGAAAATCTCAAAGGCGAATGTTTCTCAAAGTTGGCAGAAAAGCTCCCCATTACTTGCTCCCTGGCTTCATGCATCAAGATTTTCAAATCTGCATAACTATACCTTCATAGAACCAAATTCAGTCTGGATTCAATAAATTCACTTTTTTAAAAAGTGAAGCCACTGTGCTATCCAATCTTCACAGTTATTAAATATTCACATTACAAATGAATTCCCAAACCCCCACCTGCTCTAGCAATGTTATCACTGAATAACTGGAATTAATTATTATAGAGATGATGATAATGATGCCAAAGAATTTATCCTAATTAAATGTTCTCCCATGAAGAAAGGGCTGAAATTTAGATCAATAATGATTTAATTTTATCCTTGAATCTTTCAGGGACATTCAGTTCTTCAAAGAACAATAATTCAATGAATGATTGTATTTTTGCTATAACTGAACACTATCTTTATCAACTTTCTTTTTACAGGTTATCCAATACCCCAGTTCATATAACACAGGTTCTATGGGAAACCCTTACACATAAATAAACTTTAAAGATACTTTAGTTAGTCATTGCCACTCTTTCTGTGTATTTTCCGTGAGTTAAGCGAACATGAGAGTATTTCCATTTTGTTGGAAAACAGCCCTTCAAAAAGAATCAGACTTTGAGACAGACCTGCCATTGTAGTATGTCAGCTGTTAGATGAGACTAACAGTTCAAACACAAAATGGAATGACACACAGCATGAGACAGAGAAGATATTTAGAAGAATATATTTATTAATTATAAATCTCATTCATGTTTTTGCACACAAATATTATTAATTCTTTAAATGGCGTAATGCCATTATAATACTAAATGAAAACTATTAGCTTCAAAGTAAGTAGACATCTGTTCTCAAATACCTATAAAAAATTTTAAAGGAGATGCCTTAAAATATGAATAGTAATTAACTACATTGTAAATTTTTCTGCATTTTTATAATCATAAAAAAATCAAAGTCATTTTTTTAAAAGCACTAGTCTATGTTAACTGACTTACTCCACAACCCAAACTACAGTGTTCAAGACCCAAATTTATGGTGAAATTCTAGGAGCTTCCTCTGGGTACAAAAGGAACCCAGTAAAAATGCTGTCATCCTCAGTGCTGGCATATACCCCATTCCAATCCTTTAACACTTCCAGCCAGACTTGATCTCCTGCTGTTAATTTCAAGATGAGGAGGAGAGAAGACTGGTCTATTTCCTGACCATGGAGAGTCTCTCTGGACTTGAACTGCTTCTTATTTCGGGCCACCAGGCTAATCCCAGCAGGTCGACCCCTCACAGTGACATGGTAGGAGAAAACATACGTCCCAGGAATACTGCAATTAAATTTCCCAGTTGCAGGGCTATAATCCCCTTGGTCATTATACAGAACCTTGTCAAATTTAATAGGAGTGTTGGGAGGTGGGAACGACTTGGATAAGATAGCACTGAAAGCAGATTGTGGGAATTTGGCCACCTCACCCTTAGAGCCCTTAAAACCCCGGGAGCCCTTCTTCCCAATAGGTCCTCGTACTCCCTTGCTCCCAAGCTCACCCTTTGGCCCAGCAGGTCCCATAAAACCAGGAGGACCTAACTCTCCTTTTTCTCCTTTAATGCCTGTATCACCTTTGACCCCAGGCAAACCATTCAGGCCTCTTTTGCCTTCTATCCCAATGTCTCCTTTACTACCTTTTTCCCCTTTCAACCCCTCCTCACCTTTTTGCCCTTTTCCTCCCCTCTCCCCAGAATCTCCACAGTAGCCTTTCTCCCCCATCTCTCCCTTCTCTCCCTTGGCTCCAGGTTCTCCATTCAAGCCTGGGGAGCCCATGGCCCCAGGGTCTCCTTTGTCTCCTTTGGTGCCATTCCCACACAGGTCCCCCTTGGAGCCTTTTTGTCCTTTCACTCCTGCCAGGCCAATGTTTCCTTTATTCCCCTTAGGACCAACTCCACCTGAAATGGAAAATTAGAATACTGTTTACAGGTCACATAGGCTATAAACAGTATGCTATTACCACAGATATAAAAAAATAGGAATAAAACCTAATTAGGGCTGGAAACCTGGTTCTTGTCTCCATAAGGGTTGTATCTAGGAGCTATTAAATACAATTAGAAATGTATGACACGTCATGCTCTTAGGAAGGGAAAAGTTAATGCTTCCAAGAAACAATAGCTTACATTCAGAACTCATATATTCAGTTCTTTTTTTTTCTTACTTTTAAGATAATAAAGTATATTATAGCTATAGTTTCTTATTGTACTCCATTACCCTTTGCATTTTGGCCAGCTCAAGTATTCTCAGCCTCCACACAGTCCATCCAAATGTATGATCTTACAGGCACAGAAACTGAAACCCAGAAAGTTTCAGGCCTTGTTTTCTTTCCATTGACAGCTAGGGAGTCTCTAAATTATTTTACCTACTTTATCCAATCAGCACAATGAATTATTGGAAGAATACAGTAACTTGTATTTCCATCCTAGCTCTCTGACAACTCTGAAGACAAACAGGAGGAGAATGAAAGGGTTTGCTACACTTGTGACTGTATACAATATATATATTTTGTATTTTACCTTGTTCTCCAGGCTTTCCTGGATAGCCTGGAACTCCACTTGTTCCTTGGTCCCCACGTTCTCCCTTTAGTCCTAAAATGGTACCAGGTTAACATTTTTCCAACTATGTCATTTAAGATATCCCATCTTCCCTCTTACAACCATGTCACATTTTCAGTGTTTAACACAAATGATTTAAGGGCAAATAATGCAGAGAAAGGATTTACCAAAGGTCACTAGTAGTATTTAACTCTAATTAATGGTAAATAGTTTAAAGGGGATTAGAAGGTAATGCCCATCTCTTCAAATACAATTCATCTTTGCCCATGGAGTTTCCGTGACTCTTCAAACCTATCATAAAACCCCACCATCCTGCTTATGTTATATAGGTTTGTGCTTATGTTTTTCTATTATGAATTTTGAATGACAGTTGAAACATTTTCTTTATATGCTCACAAAGCCCAAGAAATAATGCCATACACTATACAAGTTTAAGACAGGCACAACATTCTACAATTGGCTAAAATTAGTCATAAGAACTCATCCAGGAATGAAAAATTGTCTTTGACATAAATCATGAAAGAAAAACCAATTTTCATTATATATTGGAATAATTTTTGTGCACTCTGGACAAATTATGGAACTGTGAAAAATCATATTTGAAAAATGGTGAAAGAGTTGGTTTTTCAGGTATTTACCATATTACCATAAAATAGATTTTTATATTGAGCCTGACTAAAAGCCCATCCTATTACAAAGCAACAATCCTGTTACAGATTTATTTTGATCATACATGTTAATAGCGATAATAATAATATGAGTAATAGATAATTTGCATTGAGAATTTACTTTGCAACAGGTTATTCTAAACTCAACATATTTTTAACTTAGATTGGAATTTTTTACTTAGTATAATTTATTTGGCATTAATACAAACTCTTATATAATAGAAGTCTCATATAACAGCACATGTCATCAATTGCAACATTTTAAATTTACCAAAGTTTATAGCACTCTCCCCTTTCAAGTATTATTACTTTTATCACAGAAGAAACTGAGGTATGAAAAATGTTAAATTTATACAGAATCAAACATGACTGTATATAATCTTGGTTGGCATCAATTTGCCAACCATGTTATTAATGATTAACAATATTCATGATTAATATTTTTGTTTCATTTTGTCAAGGGAAAAAAGTTGAATTAAAAGTGATTAAACTACTGCAATTTCACAAGACCAGCTAGAGACATCCTACTATAGGTCACTCAGCAGAGTTTTCTAGATAACCAGCTCATCTGTCACCACTCCACATATAACATAAAATGTGGAACCTAACCTATCAGTCATCAGGAAAATATTTTGATGCATTTTGAGAGGTTTCAACCCTGCATGGAAGTGAAAGACCAATTCTGTCCACAGTCTTCATCAGTAATCACATGTTGACCTTCTCTCACAGTTATTTGAGATCTCAAATTTATTTAAGGAATTTAATTGCTTACACTGAATTTACTCAGTCAAGTAAATGCACCACTCAACTCAGTTGTTTTTTATTTTTAACTTAGTCTTAACTAAGAGTCCACAATAAATCTTGAAGTAAAAGGAAAGTAGAGTTACCACTTTATAGAGACTGGCTGAATGAATTTCTACTTTTGATCCTTTATCAAAGTATATTCTTATTCTTATCTTATGATAGCTCCCAGCATTTTCTTCCACTTCCAGAAGTCTAGCTTCCAAAATGTATGAATTGCTGGGGAAGTTCATCACTCATTTTTATTTCATAGCATTTTCTGCTAACATAAGTCAGCCACAAAAGAATTAAATGTTTCTAAGAATGAAAATCGCATAACTGACAAGTGTGAACTAGCTCTCTCTTACCTTAGCAACTTTTTTGGGTAATTACCTCACTGAATGTTCTAGCAGAAATTAGTTAGGCAGTTCCTGAACCATGTGGAAGCTGATGTATAGATGATATTAGGTCTTTTGACATGTGATACTGAGGCTAAAACATTGAGCTTGATGGATAGATGGTGCTTCTATAGGATGCCAGAATTCATTGAGAAATTTCTATGTGTCTCAGTGAATCTGTAACCTTTCTTCAGTACCTTCAAGCACTTGCTGAACCAAGGATTTCCTGGGACAAAAAACCCTCTTTACTGATGCACCTATGGGATTATAGAATTTCTGAACTGGGAAAAATCCATGAAAGCATTCATAACCACAACCTTATTTGATAGTAAACAGACTATAAATAAATACCTGGTCCACTCCCCTCAATTTCCTGGCAATGTAAAGGGACTGGTACAAAGTCACTTTTAAAAGCTTAATAGGTCCATTTTAATTCTTTTCACTTCAACACTTGTATGACTCTAATCTCAGAGTAAGCCAAAGGGAATATGAAATTATCCTTAACAAGCAGGCTTTCTACCTGAACTGAATATTCTAGAGGAATTTCTTTGCTGCAGTTAGTTCTCTCTAGTATGAAATTAGTTTTCCTCATGATAAAAGGCACATATGGAGAGTGTAAGAAAAGACTCTTCCCCATAAACTTCACCTTATATCTTAGAGCCAGTGAGTCAGCCAGGTAACCAATAAGGTGGGAAAGCTGTGTATGAGTCTGAGTGTGCAGGTGCATGTACGCGTACATGTATGATGTTCCCAAGTAAGTTTAGATTTTCCCAATTAACTATTTATAAAGTTAACATTGTATAGCAAGTTAAATCATAACATGCTCTGTCACATTTTTAAAAACTTACTCACCTTTAGGAATCTAGTATTTATTAGTAAATTACTCTCCTTAAAAATTATCAGAATGTCCCTGGAGCTTGAATACAAAATGAAAAGGATTCTCACCCTTCTCTCCTTTCTGGCCTTTCAAGCCTTTGGGTCCACTAACTCCTGGTAGTCCTGGGATCCCCGTATCACCAGCCTCTCCTTTAGGACCTGGAAATGGGGTTTTTAAACCATCAAATAAGAAAAATTATCTTTTGAAACTCATTAGTTCACAAGGGAAAAAAGTCATCATTTTATGAAACCAATAACTATCAATGTCCTAATGATAAAATCTGTAAGAATAAGCCATTGCAGAGTTCTAAGGCAATATTTTTGTCTGATTTGCAATTTGTACTACCTGAACAGATAAATTGAGCCCATTAGTTCTTGTCACTGTATTCATGGCAGTGATCAAATGATTCAGGGAAACAGCACTATATCAAACAAGAACAAAATGATTATCTGACACTCAGGCCCATGTGGGCCACACTTTCAAATTGAAAGCAAAAACACAATTCCTAACACTTTTAGATTTCCCACTCATTCACTTATTTGTTGATTCAGGAACTATTTCTGAGGTCTCCTATACACCAAGCAGCCTGCCAAGTGTTAGGAATGCAGCCATGGACACACCAGCAGCCCCTACCCCTTTCAGAAACTCTGAAAGATAAACATTGAACAAATAACCACACAAAGAAATAGAAATGGCCATGCTGTAGTTAGTGATATAAAGGAAAATAAGAAGGTCCATTGTAAGTTATGGTTCTTTTTCTTTTTAAAGAACCTAATTTTTATTTATGGAATCAGAAGATATCTCCATGAGAAAATAGCACTAAACAAAGACTCAACAAATGGAGTAGGATTTCCTGAAGCAAAAATAAACAAGCAGTTATTTCAGAAAAAGAAAATGTAGAAAACCCTGCAGTGTTTTTAAGCAATTGGAAATAGAGATCAAGGACAGGAGAGTCTAAGAGTCAGACAAGGGGCAGATCATATAGGGTTCTTACCTCATTGGATATCCTTGTTCATCCAGGTAGTCCAGGTCCTTCTATTTACCTGGGCTGCACAGGAGCCCTAAGTCTAAAATAACTGTTATTCCTGAAACCCTAGTTCTAGTCAAGGAATAAGCATTGCTTCCTAACTGGAATAATTTAAGGCTAGTTTCTTTGAAAATTAACCATATAGATAAGTACACTCAATGAAATTATAAAATTTCATCTTAATTATTATAATTAGGTCTGATGGAATGGAGACAATTATATTCAACAGAACTTCTCTTTGAAAGAACATTGTATTTTTTTTGGAAGAAAACCTTTTATAAATGGCTTGCAATGGAGGTTAAGACTGAAGGCAAGCTCAAAAACCAAAGGAGGTAATAAGTTCCTCTGTCTGCAGAAGGAAGAACTGCATGGAGGAGAAAAATGGTCAAACTACATAATACGCATGTATGGAAATATCACAGTGAAACCCCTTTGTACAATTATTATACACTAATAAAAGTGGGAAAAATCTATCAGATAGCTTACATAGCAAGATAAAAATTCAATTTAGAAGATAAATAAACCAATTACTGGGTATGGATTCATTCATGTAGTTAGAAAGCTCTAGACCACCTCTTTAGTTGCTCAAACAGAGGTGAACACTTCCTTTATCATTCTCATGATACCATTTTCTTACATTTCTCAGAATGTATAATATAAAAGAAGAGATTGGGCAGGAAGAAAGAGTGCATGGAAATAGCACAAGGAAACTCCCTATGTAGCTATCTGTATCTCAAACTAGCAAAAACATCATGCTTTTCTTTTTTATCTTTTATGTTTTTTCTCCTACAAAACCAGAGAACAGGAAGGCAGAACAGGTTCTGCTGGGGGTGTGGGGAATTGGCCCCGGTGGGAAGAAGGAGGTGATGGGGTAAGGGGTAGGAGGATGAATGTGGTACAAATAATGTATACACATGTATGTAAAGGCAAAAATGATACTTGTTAAAACTGTCCCAGGAATTGGGAGAGTGGTTGAAGGAAAGCAATGCAGGGGGAATTCAAGTGAAATATTTGATACATTGTAAGAGCCTTTGTAAATGCTACAATGTACCCCACCCAGCACAACAATAAAAAAAGAAGCAAGAGATATGGTAGCAAATTTTCTAATTCTCAGAAATTTTTTTAAAAACTGAATTTGTGAAAACATTGCGGTTACAGTTGTATTTCTCCTGTGTTACTCAACACATTATATTTGAGAAAAAAATGAGTTCATGGCTGAAAATACGAAATGAGAATGAGTTAAACACTACATTACATTAAAAAGAATAAGCAGTGGAGATAGAAATAAGCAAGATGGCCAATCACATTCCACTGTGCATTGCTTCCGCCTTCCCATGGCCCCCAAAACTTCAGTGTGGGTTTACTGTTAAGTGAAATAATAAAGTGCTATGCCCAGGTTGGCATAGGGAGCACAGAGCAACTGCTCATGAGGGCACAGGAGAAGGAAGGCCACCCCTTATATTTATGAAAGATGTTTGTCTAGCTTTGATTCTTATAAACACCATAAGGCTGACCATAAAGAGAAAACAAGGGCTTCAAGGGAACAAATTGATCTTGACTCCAAGTTCTGTATTAGTTGTTTGTTTTATGGCACTGGGGATTAAACTCACCAAAGCCTCATGCATGCTAGCAAGTGAACCACACCCCAGTCCTTCTGTGTGTGTATGTGAATGTATGTTTGCTTTTGAGATAGGGAATCACACTCATTTTTTTTCTCAAGCTAGCCTCTAACTTGAGATCCTCCTGCCTCTGCCTCCTAAGTAACTGAGATTATAGATGTACACCACCAGACCCAGTTGATTTTGACTCCAGGTTTTGCACTCACAGGTGTTGCAACATCTAGATTTATGAAACACTCCCTGAACTGCTATTGAATCATCAGATGAAATATAATATTTTTATAAAGATTAGAAAAATATAAAATACCCACCATTCTTGACATGTTGTAGCTATTATAACTGAACTAAAGACAGAAGCAGGAGATAAAATTTTAAAGGGAATTTTACCTTGGCCAACTATTAAATGTATCTGAATAACTCAAGTCATATTCATTCAGAAACACTATAGAGCTAGACTGATGATGTTTTCCATTAGTGTGCCATTTTTCCATTTTCTTTTATCATCATAATATTGTTGTACTGAGGGTACATTGTAACATTTACAAAAGTTCTTGCAACATATCCTCATTAAATTCACCCCCTCCATCATTCTTCTTTATCACCCCTGCCCCCATTTCTGGAATAGCTTCAACAGGTCTCATTTTTCCATTTTCGTACATGAGTACATAATATATTCATAGACTAGTGACTTTTGAAAGTAGATAAAACAAAATTTGATGTTTGCATTGTGTGTATGTGTGATCATGGGACCAAGGACTGAAAATTAATGAAGGAAAATTTAGTAGACTTATTTTTCTCTCTTAAGTTTGCTCTTTTACTATATTTCTAATGAAAGAGAGGCAAAGTGACAGAGACAAACAGGAGGGGAGGTGAGGTGGGAAGGAGAGAAATAGTATCTTCAAAAACCTGGATAATGCTGGAAAAAATCTCTCCTGTGAATTTCAAAAGCAAGATCCAGAGTCTTTCACTAGACAAGACTGCACTCCTACCATAGCTAACTGGAAAAGTAAAAATAGTTTATTGAACACTTATTCTATTCCAGTCACTGCATCATGTTCTTGCATGTATTATCTCATTCAGCCAGATGATTCCATGAAGCTATCATCATTCTTATCCCATTTTACCATTTTGAAAACTGAGACTTGGAGAAATTGTGGAACTTCTCTAGAATAGGACTGTGATTAACCCAACATTATGAGCACTCAGTACTTTCAGCGCTCTGCTCTGTGGCAGAACCAGTCAAAATAAGAAATATGAGCTCCCCAGGCAGTCTAGCAACTTGGCACACCTTCAAAATATTTGTCACATAGACTTGGAGGACAGACTGAACTCTCAGAACAGCCCAGTCAATCTACCACTGGCTATTACAGACCTCACAACTCTAGAAGACAGTTTATTCACCAGCTGTGTCTCATGGACCATGCCTTTGGACTTTCCACCCCCAAGAAGCTTGCCAACCACTAGACTAAAGAGAAATTCTGATAAAAATGACTTTCTTCATGTCATTACATTTTCAATAACGTGTTAGCAGCCCTGAAATCTTGGTACCCCCGGCCACTACCTATCCTCTTTGCCTCTTAATCTAATTCTGAATAAATAATGAGCATATTTCTCAAAAGATGTCTGCAGTGATGCATAATTACTGATTTTATAACTTTAAATTCTTTAGACATGAAGCAGAAAACATATATATTTTTAATCAGGGAATAGTGAATTTTAAATCCACATTCCGATCTTAATTTTGTCTTAAATTCTCTCACTAGATGACATGTAAAAATCAAAATGTATTAAATAACACTGAGAGTATAGTTATTAGGTAATTACTAAAGACATTGGAATTTTTGAAATATGTAACAACAGCATTCCATAGAGAAAATTGTGGAAAAACGACAGAGTGTTGCTTCAGAATTTCAATGAGGAGCAAATTGAGTCCTACAGTTCATTGTCCACCTCACATTTCTAATCTAATTACAAATAGCACTCAAAAAACTCCATCAGTCAGCACACATGCTTACCAGGAGGTACAAATTTCATTTACCTTTTATAATCAGCCATTAAAGGGAAGATTATACTGATAATAAACGTGTGGGACTTGGAGAACCACAGCACCATCACTGGGGTGGTAGGCCCTAACCTGGTGTTAATAAGCACTGTCCAGCAGAACTTTCTGCAGTGATAGAAATGTCTGGTTATTCTGTACTGCCCACTACAGCAGCCAACAGCCACACGTAACTATTGAGCATTTAAACTGTGGCTGTAATTGCTGAACTGAATTTTTTGTTACTTAATTTTAATATCTATTAATAACCATGCATGTAGCTACCATGTTGGGCAGCACAGCACCCATGTCCATTTGTCACAGTGTTACACCTAGGCCTGTTGTTTTTCACCATTTATTTAGATGACAGTGCAGAAACACTTGGAAAAATTCCAGGCCTCAACCTATGTCTCTAAGGATGTACAGGTAAGAAACATGGCCCCATTTGTTTTCAAATACCTGGTTTTCCAATCTTTCCTGGTTCTCCTTTCAGTCCAGCAACAGGTGAGCAGCAATGACAGCAATTCAAAAAGAAGCCAGCTGTGTCAAGGGTGAAGTTCTCAAAGGGAAAGACAGTGGCAGAATCTGGGTCAGGGAGCCCAGTGGTGGGCACTACCACTGCAGCCATTTCTGTGAGGGGGGTTTCCTCTTCCTCCCAAGGTGAGCCGTTGGATGGCTTTAGACCCTTCGTATGTGTTTCCCCTCAGATTTCCTTGTAAATTTGGCATATGGTGTAGTCTTTGCTACTGTGTCTATATCAGCAATAGCCAAAATAATTAAAATGGCACAAAGCCAAGAAAACATCCACATATTTGAGGCTGGAAGGAAGACATAATAGGAAAATACAAATTATATGAGATCCAAATGCAAAGACTAAGTGACATAAATATACTTATATGAGAGAAATAAATACACATATGAACCATAAGCATGAACACATGCGTAATATTGAATGATATATTATTGGTACATTTTTTGTGCAAGTATGTCCTTGAAACACAACATAATATTTTATTTGCCTAATGTATTTATTATTAGGAACATTTTGCTATAGCTCTCCTTTCTGGTTGTCTTCTTGGAGTTACATGTTCTAAAATAGTGCTCTCAATCATTCAAATTATCTTGCCAAATAGCAAACATGATCTATAATAAATACAACATGACTTAATAGCTCATATACCTGCTGGAAAACAAATATGTATAATTTCCTGACTGACCTCACTTAGATTTATAGAAATCAAATACATTTGTATTAGAGGAAGATGAAAAATATTGAGCTGAGTAGTTTATTCCAGCAAACTCAATTATTTCAAGAAAAAATACTGGTGAAATAGTCTTTAAATCTACCAGGGATAATGGTCCAGTTGTGAAAGCACTCTTTTGGAATCTATTATAATAAATGGAGAGGGAGACAATAAAAAAATCATAAATTTTAATATATACTATGTCCTTAGACTCTTTACATACCATTTAATTCTTCAACTCTTTGCTTTATAATTCAGAGAGTTTTTTCTGAAAACTCCCATTTATCCTAGTATTGTTTTAATGTGGCAAAGTATGGTTATTCTTATTAAGGTTTTTATCAATGTCTAAAGTAATATTATATAAGGTTCCCAATGAAATGACATTGTGATAGTTCACAGTATTCCATTCTCCATCAATTCCAAGCAGTCTGGTGACAGCTAACAGATAACCAAGCTTAGGTTCTCTGATATGAGAAGAATGGAACAATTAGGATAAATACTAAAAGAACACAGAAAATGAAAATAAGGATAGTAAAAACACCTACTCTGTACACAGACTCTACCACAAGTAAGTGCCTTACATCATCAATCCAATCAGTTCTCAAAACACCTATACTGGACAGGTGACACACTGTTATTCACTTCCACAGATGAGGAAACAGGCACCAAAGGGTTATATATTTTGTCCAAGGTCACACAACCAGTAAGTAATGAATATAGAACCTAAATCCAGGTCTGCTTAATTTCAAATCCTAAATCTTCTCCCACAAATCCTTATAGCATTTATTAGGATAGGATTAAACAACAATAAATTTAAGGGTAGCTCAATGGAACAGAGCTATAGAGGAAACAGGCATAAATCAGAGCAGGTGTGAAGGGACAAAGATAGGAAGGAAGCTTCATTTCCAAAATCATAAAAATCCAGAAATGCCAACATTTCTCTGAGTTGTCTCCTACTATATTTATTCATTCAACCAATGTTTGCTGAATATCAACAATGTCACAACCAGTGACACATTGTATGTGATGACAACCAAGCGTAAGCCATGGTCTCTGTCCTCAAGGAGTTTACAGTCTAGTAATGAAAGATGAGAGTCAACAAAAGCAAAGAGGAAACTATGAAAGGTAGCTAATTACATGGTACTTTTCAAATACAGACCCACGAATATACCCTCCACCCCAAAGAAAACATGGTGTCCACACATTGGACAGCTAAATTCAGCCCAAGTGAAAACTCAGTGACAGATTATTTGAATATGAAATAACTGAATTTTCATTAGTTCATACAATTGCATTTAATAAAGTAATAATTTGTTCAAGAAACATTTATTTGAATATCTAAGAAGCCCTATGCACGTAGTAGAATAGAAAGACAAGTAAAACCCAGCCCCACCCCTAAGGACCTTTTCTACTATAAAGAAGCAAATATAACCAGATCTATACCTTTAGGCTATAGAGAAATCAGAGGTCTGGCAAAAGACCAAAAGTGAAATATTAGAAGCTTTTGATTTTCTCCTCACTTTACCACAAGAAGCATTAGGACTTACAGAATGCTGAATGTTAATGCTGTAGGATCCTTCCTATGTTATCGTTTAAAACTGAAGTCATGGGGACATTAAATCAAGGGCAAACACAACAAGGGGATTGGACTTTGAGCACATGATAAAAGCGAGAGCACACAAGGGAGGGGTGAGGATAGGTAAGACACCTAAAATATTAGCTAGCATTTGTTGCCCTTAATGCAGAGAAACTAAAGCAGACACCTTAAAAGCAACTGAGGCCAACAGGAAAAGGGGACCAGGAACTAGAGAAAAGGTGAGATCAAAAAGAATTAACCTAGAAGGTAGCACACACGCACAGGAAATTAATGTGAGTCAACTCCCTGTACAGCAATCCATATCTCAACCAGGAACACTTGTTCCTTCTTATTATTGCTTATACTCTCTCTTCAACAAAATTAGAAATAAGGGCAAAGTAGTTTCTGCTGGGTATTGAGGGGGTGAGGGGGAGAGAGAGGGGGTGGAGTGGGTGGTAAGGGAGAGGGGTGGGGGTGGGGGGAGAAATGACCCAAGCCTTGTATGCACATATGAATAATAAAACAATAAAAAATAAAAACTGGGTCATGTGCAAAAATAACCTTTCTTTTTCCTTAGTAGAACATCTTTGTTATTCTTTCCTATGTACAAAGCATTTTTGACTCTGTAAACATGTTGTGATAGGATCCTGACAAAACAGTCCTGAGAGGGCAAGCAAGAGAGTGCTGGAAGAACAAGGAAAAGGAAAGGAACCAATATTGAGAATGTGACAAGCACTTTATGTCAATTATGCGAAACAAGAATCATGCAATATAAGACTCACTATGCCCACAAAATGGGTTATAAAATGGAGGCACAAAGAGGTTAAGTAGCCTGCCAGAGATCAAAGTGTTAGTAAGTAGTAGAGCTGGAATTAAAATGTAGACCTATTTGACTGTAAGGCTAATCCATGTGCCTCCCACTGTGCCTTGTTACCTAGGGATTAATGAGCAATCACAGATGCTACAGAAGCCAACTGGAGTTGGACCCTTCATGGAGCTCAACTTTGGGACATTCAGCAGACAAGAACTGGGAAATTATTGGGAGAGATGAGGAGTCTGGCTTTGACAATGGAACACATTCGTGCTGGGTAAACAAAGCTACGGAAGATAACAGAACATTCAACAAAAGGCCAAAGGTTGCAGAATGGAATGATCAGAGTCAATGGATACAAGAAAGGTACTAGTGTCCCTATCTGTAGGGGAGAATTTTCCTCATATATATTTCCTTGTGCTGTAGGTTCCTGCTTCCCAATTTAAATACAGATGTTAAAGGATAACCTTGTTGAACTTTAAGACTATGATAAAGGTTGTGAAGCAAGTGTTGGTCAAAGACTGAAAATGATGCAGATTTATTATTTCTTTTATATTGGACTATTTTATGTTTGTGTAAAAACATAAAAACCTAGCCAAACAGGACTTCTACAATGAGTCAAACAAGTAAAGATTTATAGCCAAATTTTAAATCACTAAAACAATAAAACAAAACTTAAGAGTTAAGTGTAATGTTTGATGTAGGTATAACAGAGCAGTTAGAAGTAAAGATCAGAATGGGAGGTTGAATCCCCAATAAAATTATGTGTCCCAAAAAAATGTTTGTTGAGCTGAAATGAAGTAAATGTAATAGTAGATTGCATTATTATCCTCAATTTTTCACCCCTCCCTGTACTCATATCCTTTGTGATATGAGTTTTGCACTTCTTCTCACAAAAGAAATGGGATCTATACTCTAATGCTTGAGTCTGAGTTCCACCATGGGACTCTAGCAAATAAAATGAGGTAGAAGTAACAAGATACCAGTCCAAAGCCTGGTCTCATGGACACAGGTGGTTCCACTTGCTATCTTCCCTTTTGCCGTTGCCATCAGAAGAATGTGAATGACCTAGATCGTAGGTTCCCTAACCAATCAACATAGAACAGAGTCCCCAACTGACCTGAACAGGCATAAGCAAGCTCAGGTAAGCCCAGCTGAGACAACCAAAATCAGACAATCCTCACCAATCCAAATATGTTCCAGTTAATTATTGTTTTGTTGTATTTTTTGGTGGTACCAGGGGTTGAATTTAGGGTTTCACACTTGATAGACAAGTGCTCTACCACTTAAGCCACTCCCGTAGCTCCAGTTAGTTATTGCTGTGTAACAAAGTAACCTGAAGTCAGTAGCTTTAAGCAGCAACCATTTCATAATAGCTAACAAATCTAGGCTCAGAAATTCAGGCCTGGATCAGGTACATGATTCTTTTGCTTGTGAGGCATCAGATAGCATTTCTCAATAGTATTCACCTGGCAGATGGGCTATTCTGGAAAACTTACCTACTAGTATGGTGCCTTGATAAAAATGGAAACAAGCTCAGCTCAGCTGGAACTCTCAATCTCACAGTCTCTCTAGCTTGCCAGCCTCGAGATACTCAAAACGTCTTCCATCATGGCTAAGGGATACCAATAATGTTCCAAGAACATGAAAGCTGTCAGTCTCCTAAGGCTAGCTCTGATAACTAGCACAATGACATTTCCATTGAATTCTATTAGTTGAAGCAGTCACAGAGGCAAGAAACATTCAAATGAAAGGACATAGACTTCACTTCTCAGTGGGAGAAGTGTCAAATAATTTCTGGCTACCTTGAATCTACCACAGACACACTCAATAATTTGTAAGTTAGGAAATTTTAGCAAGGATAGGAAGCAAAAGCTAACTGAGTACCAATAGTTGCAGTCTTTAGCCTAACACTATTTTTGCTGCCATTAACAGAGACAAAACTAAGCAGCCTTCAACCAGTACCATAGCAGCACGCTCTTCCTCTTGGACTCCTTCTCCTTGTTAGTTAGCCCCACATCCCTAGAGATCTCATACACTAAAAGTGTTCAAGTAGAAATTCGGCCACCCCTTACCAACATGCTATTAAAAAGGTTTCATTTGTTTGCAGTGCTGAGGATCAAACCCAGGATCTCATACATGCTAGGCAAATGCTCTACCACTGAGCTACTTCCCAGAC